TCTTCATGGTATCAGAGTCGGTTCACCCAGCCCATCAGTTGAGTTTGGGCCTATGTGGGACCGTGCAATGACGTATCCGTCACTCAGCTCAGTTGTGTTTGGGCCTCATATGAAGGACTCACAAGCGAGGAGACGTATTATAAGCCTATCGGGCTACTCCTTTTGCCACCAATTATTTTTAGGATAGAACTCCACTAAGGCGCATCTAAGTTCACCTTGATTTGGTGCGCTTCACATCCGTGAGACCGCACTCGTCAACCCGTCACTTCGAGTACCTATAAATACTCTCATCAAACTAGCAGTGTTAAAATTTTCTACTACTTCCGGACTATAACTAATTATAAAATCATATTTACTCAATAATCATCAATTGTTTATAACTTAAATATCATTTTATAAAATCATATTATAACTCAATAATCATTAATAGTGTATAACTTAAATATCTGTTTCCATGATATTAACCAAACATATTGACCCACCATAGAGACTTTGATTATTATTATCACTATTATTTGACCTATGTATATAGCAAATAGCAAGTTGATGGCAACTCGCACTTCATTAAGAACCAAACGTATATCCATGATAACAACAAAATGATTCTTTTATCTCATTAGTCTACTGCTTTATATATGATTTTTTTTTTTAGTTAATTTGATAAGTGATGATACCAATTAAATTACATCTGATGTTAAGAAAAATACAAATTCTTGTGTGAGACTATGTGACGTTAGATGGGTCGGTCCATCATACTTTATACATATATAAAAGTACATATTCTGTATTATAAAAAAAATGCTTATGTTTAGGTTGTGTTTTAAAATATGTCACTTTACAATGAAAATACGTATATTTACGAAAATAAATTCTTGTATGAGACTGTTTAACTACGAAGCGGTTTGACCTATCATAATTCTTAACAAAATGCATATTTATGTTGTGAATGTCACACTTTTGTTATATTGTTTTAAAGTATGATTAAAAAAATATAACTGTCTAACTATTAGGTTGACCGACATTAATAGTCATACTATTGTGAAAAGGGTATGATGGGCTTAGACCATCCTAACAAAAGAATTAGGCAAGAAAGTACCAGTTTTGCTATGGAGCCATTGGATAACTCGACTTATGGAGTCATCCACACTTATTCACAAATAGTGTATTGACACGTGTCCTACAATAAATACACATCGGACATGTGTCAATACATTAAGTGGTGGACGGCTCGACAAGAAAACTATTCGATGGCTACATAGAATTTTTGAAGAAAGTATTTTTTTACATCTAAGGTGGTACTTTTGGAACACACGAACAATACAAAACAGTGTGAAACAACCAAATGGGTTAAAACGGGTTGACCGTGCGTAATAGTTTGTTTTTGGCAAAAATGTATACTTATACTATAAAATTGTTTATATTGTTTATATTGAACCAACAGGGGTTGGCTCAAGTGGTAAGCAGCCTGATGCCCTTTAAACAATGTCACGAGTTCGAGTCCTTGTGGATGCAGAAAACCCTTGTTGGGAGACTCACCCACCACTATCAGGTGTGCAACCCAGGTCGACCAATGAATTAGTTAGGACATAGCTTCAGATATCGTGGCTAGCTACCAAAAAAATAAAAATGTCATGGTGCTGTTATTTGGATATTTTTCAACATATTGGTAAAATAAATTAGAGATTTAATTACAGTCACGCTGACTTAAATGTTACTACTTCTATTCTACACCTTGAATAATTGGTATCAAACATCCTGGCACACCTAGCTAGGTGTGTTAGGGCATTTTTACACGCGCCTCCCTCACACCAAAAACATGGAAATTTGGAGAGTGTAGTCACATTCCTATTTTTCATTTTTTAATTAAGAAATGACACATATTACATAAATTAAAATATCATTAATTATTTATATTAAAAAAATAAAATAAAAATACCAAAATTCATAATTTTTTATTATCTATAAATAGAGACCACATTTGATATGTTTTTTAACAAAACTAATTTTTTGTTTTTTCGAAATTATTTTATTATGCTGACATATAATGAACATGTTACATAATAAAATGAATATGTTTTCAAATATGATGAACATGTTACAGATTGAAGATTGAAATAATACATATTCATCTTATTTTATAACATGTTCACCTTATTGTGTATGTAACATGTTCATCTTATTCTATAACATGTTCATTTTATTACGTAACATGTTCACCTTATTGTGTATGTAACATGTTCATCTTATTCTATAACATGTTCATCTTATTCTATAACATGTTCATTTTATTATGTAACATGTTCATCTTATTATATAACATGTTCATTTTATTATGTAACACGTTCATCTTATTTTAGAACATGCTCATCTAAATTTCATCTGTGAAAATTTAACATTTTCATCTTATTCTGTGACATATTCATCTTACGCTATAACATGTTCATCTTAGTATGTAACATATTCATCTAATTACAGATTTATGTCATAATCTTTCAATAAGATAAATTAATTGTAAAAAATGATAAATTAATTGTGTTCCAAAAAATATCAAATGTGGTCTCTATTTATAGAGAATGAAAAATTATGAATTTTAGTATTTTTATTTTTATTTTTTGATACAAAATATGAATGATAATTTAATTTATAAAATATGATATATGAATTTTTATTGCCCAATAGAAATGGGACACATGTCTCATTCTAAAAAAAATGTCTTACATTCTTACCTCACGCGCTTTTGGCGATCAAACATCAATGATGGTCCCAAATTTTATTCTTTCAATTTAGCCATAAATATTGACAATATTCTAGGTGTCCCACGCATTGTTGACCTTTTTATTTTGCCAGTAATGCTAAGGAGC